GAGGGCGGCCCCGGCCCGGGCCCCGAGGCCGTCGTACGGGCGGTCTCGCTTCGGTCGGTGCCGGGACCTGCTGGGTACCGAAACCGAGCCCGCAGGGGCAGCCAGAAGCACAGCGTGTCCCTGCCCACACTGGAACATGTCTGCCAGCGAGCACCTCCGCTGCACGGCAAGGTGAAGATTTTTCAGCTAAAACGTTGTCAAATGACGGGAAGCAGACCGAGTAATGCCAGCCCTCCTGATGAAACCTTGCTGAAAGAAAAATAAAGACATTTTGAATCGCATTGTGCCTAATCAGTACCTGAAACACCAGCGAAAACAAGCTCGCAAGGTCCTAGAGGCAGGCGCTCGGATGTGGGCCCAGCGGGCGATCGCCTGCTCTGTCAGCCAGAAAGCAAACAGAGATGGCATAGGTAAAGGGTGAGCCAAATGTTGCAATGGCTGGAGAGCAGCTATGCCACTGAACATCCACGAACCAATTCGTTTTTAAACTACTACATGGCAAGAAATGAGATACCGAGCTTGGCACAAAAGGACCCTGGAAAACGTGATTTATGCCCCTCTTTTGACAGAGCTGTTATAAATATTCGTCATATTTGCAATTCTGGAAAAAGCGGTTGTTTTGGCATGTAGTTTGGAATACAAAACCGACTTCCAGGCGGTTCTCTGCACGGACAAAACCGGAGTCAGGTTACTGCCCTGCTGCAGAATGTGCTTTTGTTACTGAAAAACCGCTACACTGCAAAGTTTCAGGAGGTTCACAATGTGGCTGGAGTATTAACTGAAAAGAAATGCCTAAGTAATTGATGGTGGATTCCAGTGAATGAGCTGAAGGAAATGAAACATGGGGTTACCCCATCAATGGCAAAATATTGCCATGGCAATGGGTAGCTTTGCCAGGATTAAACAAACAACAACAGGCCTCTTCTCTCGCAGCAAAAAGTTAGAGAATTTTCTGTTCTCACCTTACCAAAGTCTGTGCTTTTGGACATCTTGGAGGGGAGAAGATAGTGTACCCTACTTACACAAGTCCCACAAATCCAGCTCACTTCTCAGTCATACAATTAGATCATTTCCAGAGCAAGAAGTAACCTTTATACCCAGGGGAAGGCATCGACATTTGCTTTATAATGATTTCAATGCTTTGGTTACTGTAATTCTGTACCATTTTCTTACAGAAGGTGGAAGGGCTCAGCAATAACGCAGCTCTGTGTCACTCCTAGTTGAAGTCAATCCTGCTTCAGGAGAGACTGCTGATAGGGAAGATTTTCTTACGAGCAAAAACATGGGCCCGCAGTTAAATTAATGAAGAGCTTTAAAAAAAACACACCGCAGAGAGCCAGGGAGCTCAGAAAGCGCGAGCTGCCCTTTTCTGCAGGCACGGGTGCTAGGCAGGGAGCGTGCCGATGCACAGGCACCGGGGTCCTCTCCCAGCAGGGCCTTCAGCAGTGGCCCTCTGCCACTGAAAGCTTTCTGGACATTTCTGGCCATCCCCAGTCCCTCAGAGGATGCAGTCCCACCACCGGGTGTGAGCTCTGCAGGTCTCCTCTCAACCCAGGGAGACAGAGCTCAGCCACCGCCCAGGCAAGGACTCAGCAATGTTGGGGTCCTGCCTAGTGTCTGTACGCTGAGTTTCTTGCAGTTTTGTAGGCTGTTGTCCTCCTTTGCCATCTACCACGCATAGCATCTGAAATTCCCACTGGGCACCCATATGTGAGGAGGCACTGGGCCTTGTTGGCATCGTTCCTGAGGAAGACAGACATGGCCCAGTGTTGGTCTTGAGATTCCATGGCCTGTAGAGCAGGAGCAATGGGCCAGAGCCAGATGGCCACGTGGAATCAAAGGCGGAGTAACGAGCAGTGAAGAGAGATCTTCTGGCTTACAGGTGTCTCCTGGTGAGCAGACAGCACCTACGTGAAGGAGCGAATAGTGAGCATAACTGTATTAAACCTCCGTACCATCAGGTCAACCCTGGTAGACTTTGTGATCTGTGTAACACAAACAGTGCTGCCGGTCTGATGGGGAAGCGTCAAGACCTATGAAAGTTTGCAAAACTCTTCTAATAGCTATCCTATATCAGAAAAAATAAAATCGTCCCATGTGGCTTTCCAGCTATTTGGCATTCATTAGTTTTGTCTTACCATTCTTTATATAATAACACTTAGGTACTGCTTAAGTTCCCTATAAAATATTTAATGTAGTTTACTGTAAAGTCTTCAGGCTGAGGACTGTTTCTTACAGAGTATTCATACTGCACCTAGCACTAATTTCAACTGTGGCCTCCAGGCAGTATTGTAAGGATTCATTATTACCATCAAGATCTGTCCCTACCCTGTCACTTTTCAAAGAAGGTCCATTCTTAACTACAGGTTTAACATAGCTGGTGTTTAAATAACAATTTTCTTTTTTCCATTTAAAATGATCAAACCAGTCTCCAAGCAAATAAATTTTTTAACTTGAACTTTTAATTAATGTTGTCCATTTTGAATGGTGCTGGATCTACTTTATTTCACCAGCTCAGAAAACATGTAACAAATAAGAATGGCTCTTTTTCTAAAAAAAAAAAAAAAAAAAAAAAAAGCAGTTGGGGTCTATTTTGCATGAGAAAATATTTTGTTTAGGGATGACAGTTGTAGGCATTCTCTCATACATTGTAATATTTTCCATGTGCGGCAGCTTGTTTTTCAGTGGTACAAATATGTGCAATAAGGGCTAAGGATAAAAATTAATCTAACAGCTTTTGCAGCAATGCTTTTGATGGTTTCACTCGATTTCATTTTCCTGTGGATGCTGCCGTTAGTTCTGCTGCTTGCAATATGTGAAGCATAATTCTCAAAGGTTCACGAGGTTGTAGGGATCCAGTAAGAGATGACTGATTTCTCCCCCCACACACATACACTCCACCCCACACCCACTCACCCACCCACCAGCAAAACATAATGCTGTACTATTTTTGGTAACAGGGAAAGGGCCTCCCTGTGAAAACAGAAAGCAGTGTATTTCTCAGTTACATCACTTTGCAATCTAATGCTGTGTTGTGCTCAGTGTTTTTGTGGTGATGCAAGTCTTTTTTTTTTTTTTTTTCTTCCCTTCAGCCGGTTGGATTTTCCCCATCTTACAGCACCTCGCAGGTCTCTTCTCTGAGCAGTACGTTGCCTGAGTGAGTGGAAACATACAGATCAGCTGCAGGTTTCTGTCTACAAAAACAGAGTGAAAGAGAAAGAAAAGGGTTGGGAAAGCAGAGACAAATATTGACCTGGACTTATAGAAAGACATCCAATGGCTGAATAAAGAACCCCTGTTCATGTTTTGGGATATTCTTTCAACTGGCTGGAACGAGAGCGGATCAAAAGAATGGGAAATGCCAGCAGACCCTTTAGAAGAATTGCTTATTTCTTATGCCTTTTATCTGTGCTTTTGCTGACTGAAGGGAAGAAACCAGTGAAGCCAAAATGTCCTGCCTGGTGTACTTGTACCAAAGATAATGCTTTATGTGAAAATGCCAGATCTATTCCTCGCAGCGTTCCGCCTGATGTTATCTCACTGTAAGGGCTGTAAGCATTTGGTTATTTAATTTATGATTTAAAATGAACTAGGATGTGTGGTGTTTTCAGTGCATACAGAAGGATGCTTGCTGCAGGGAGTACCTCCAGCATTCAGAATCATCGGCTAATGTGTTAAAATTGTGCTGCATCCTTGAATCCTGATTTTTACATCTCTTTCATCTGTCTGTCTGTCTGTGTATGTGCACACATCCCATTTTATGCCTTTTTCTATACTACATGAAACCTGTAACATTCATTTTTTTGGCTTTTATTTTTTTTTTCACTTACATAAATAAATTTCTCTGTGATGACCAGATCAGTATTATAACCATGGATATATGAGACTACATTAATATAAGGTTGTTTTTTTCTTCTTTCCAGATCCTTTGTGAGATCTGCTTTTACTAAAATCCCAGAAGGGAGTTTTTTGCTCACACCATCTCTGCAGCTTCTGTGAGAAATATTTATATGATACAATTTTTGTTATGAAATGTATATGTATCCATAAATATTACAGAAAGGGCCTCAGTATTAATTTTGTAAGAAACAGCAAGAGAAGATTCATTAGATGACAAAATACAAGACTTTTTAGCAATCTGAAACATAGTGCATGTTTAATTTTTTTCAAAGTGTATCTACTTAGTATTTTGCAAGGCTCTCTGTTGTCAGTGCTACTTTGAATGATTACTTGCTGAAGCTTTCGGTGACAGAACGTATGCTATCTTTATTATACTTTAATTAATATTACGGTAGGGATTTGAGCATTGCAACAACTAGTCTTGTTTCTTTTCTGCAGTCCTGGGGCCTGATCCCAATATAAAGCTGCCCATTTGCAACTCCCATCGACTGTGTGCTCAGAACCCCTCAGATCAGGCCCTTCATTGCAGTGGGACAGGTCCTGAAGTCCCTTTCCATGTAAAATTGCCATTGACTTCTGTGGAAGTTTAGTCACTTCAGTGGGAGTTTTGCCGTCATAGCGCCTGGATTTGACCCTATTTGTTATTTCATGTTCTTTGAAAAAAAACCAAAAAAGTAACAAAGTTTTTCTTCTAATTAAAAAAATTTAACCAGTAATTTCAAAATCAAATACTGCAATGAGGTAGATGCAGAAAGAGAATATTTGGGGATGTTTAAATACTAGATGCATTTCTAGATAGGATTTTTACAGGCTCACAGGCTTTCCTAGAAATGTGGGCATACGATTATATAATTGCGAGCTATAGCGAGGTAGAGGGGGTGTAACCTGAACTGTTTGTAGTGGATGTGCTGCCAGCCTGACACACACCCAGATTTGTCTCAGAAATCCAGCAAGACAGACTCCCCGAGGTGATCAAAATCAAAACTGGATGTCTGTCCCAGACGGACTTCCCGTGCACTCTAGATGTAGCTGGAGGTGTAATGTTGATGTATGGAGCCCTACGGCTGTCGGATTAAACTGCTGGTGCACCGATAGCTGAAGCCCTGACCCTAGCTGTACTCTGCTACCTCAAGTGGAGCTGATAAGGAGGTGCAGACGTACTGTACAATTTTGGATACAGGGTAAATAGGTAAATGCAGTTACTATGGAAACCTAAATGCTTTTCCATGGTGCTTTATTCCGGAGAAGCTTTTCCCAGGTGGTCACAGATCACAAAAGGGACACATTTCACATAATTCCTGCAATAGGCCTTTCAAAGGAAAAAAAAAAAAAGCAGCATTGGTGGAGCTTGTATCTGAAGAGAGTGAGTAGGACATCATCTCTCTTGGCTACGATACGCCACCTACCCTTAGCAATCTCACTGCCAGGGGAGGCAGAATTGGGTAGGGTGGAGTAGGACAGACACAGTCTTTTTATTTTGAGTTATTACAGTGCCCAGCACAGTGGGGTCTGTGTCTCTGGCAATGGCTTTTGGCAGTTTAGTAATGGTAATAACTTGTATGATC